TTTGTATCTTTTCCCTTCTCTTTATTTCGTATTTGGTTTTGTGTCTTTGTTTTTCTTTTCTTGTTGATTGATTATATGAGTTAACTTTCCTTACATTTAAGATCGACAATGGGGACATTGTTCGGTTTTAAGTGTGGGGGAGTTTTTACATGATTATGTGCTTATATGGTTAACCAGGTCTAGGTCTTGTAGGTTGTTTTCATTTTCTGTTTTCGTTTGAGTGTCTTTTCTTGAGTCAGTTTGTGTGTTTCTTGAGTATAGATTATAGTGATTTTGAGATTTGTTAAGGATTGTTGATGATGTTGAGGAGATGTGATGATGATCATGATTAGTATGCCTTGATGAACTTGATGTTGCGTTTTGTTCGACATTTATTTACCTTATGTGAGGGTTTGAGCCTTATTTTGTTTCTTGAGAGATATTGATCGGATTCTTGTTGATCAGAACTTGCTTTTGGTCTGTTTTGAAATGAATTGATTGAAGTAGTGATTTGTGAAGATGATTGAGGCATTTCTTTGACTTCGCTGGTTTAGCCTTTTTCATTGACCTTGAGATGATGTTTCCATTAGTAGCCCGTTGAGCCTTACACTGTATTTTATGTCATCCGATTCGATTGATTATGTTGAGACTTGACAGTATATATATGATTTGATGACGGAGTTTCTAATATGTGTTGGAAAAGGTTGAGAACTTGTTTGAGTTGCATATTGAGTACAAAAAAAAAAAAATCGAAAAAAAAAGGAAAAGAAAGGGACTCGCAAGACGGATTTAAGGATTCTACTCCGCTTACTTGTTGAAATTCTTTGGCGAGTAATGAGTATTGGGAAACCATTCTAGGAAACTTGGATGACCTCCAATATTTAAACCTAGAGAATGTCGTCCTGATGTCTTAGTCTTGTTAGGAAAAAGCAAACTCCCTAAATAAAAAAAAAAATCGAAAAAGTTGAGTACTTGGATTGCAATTCAACTTGAGCATATGTGAGTGTTGCATGGAGTTTTTGATGGGAATGATTGATGATGTTCTGATTTTGGATAGGTGGTGGAATATTCGAGTAGTTATATGCTCGAGGATTTGATTGTTTATCTAAACCATTTGTATCCTTATTTTTGTCCTTCCCTTGTGCCTATTGCCTTTGTTGCAACCCCGAAAGTCCTCTTGATTTGCAATTCATGATCTTCGTTTATTTTAGAGTATGAATAGATGATAAGCAAGCTTATGTGATGCATGACGATCGACCAAATTTGAGCATCCCAGTTTTATACTCATGAAAGAAACTGAGTGTGAGGCATATATATACTATACTTCCATGCTCGAGAGTTTGTCTTTTCAAAATGTTGCATTCAAGTGTAATTGAGATATGCATGATTGGTCATTAGAAGTCTCCTCGACTGAGTTGATTAATTTGAGGCTTGTCTTATTTTAAACTATTATCCATGCTCGATTGCTTGTTTTCGTGTCTTTTCTTTTCTTTTTGTTCGGGACGAACAAAGGTTTTAGTGTGGGGGAGTTGTTTGTCCCATTTTTGTGCCGTTTTAGGTCATTATTTTACCGTTCTTTTTCTCCCATATTGAGTCGTTTAGGTAGTTTTAGGATCTTTTTGTCGTTTATTTTGTGTTTTGCGTTCATTTGAGTGTTTCAGTGTTTTCCGTTTGTTTTCTGGTCTTTTTCTGTTCTCTTTTCGTTTTTGGTGCGTAGTTTGGAGACCCCGGAGGAACAGGTTTTCGAGAATCTATTGGGGAAACTGACACCATTAGAAAGAGGGGCTCGTTAGCGACTCGTAGGAAAAAACGGAACTCAATTCCGAGTCCGAACGAGCCCGTACGAGCAAAAACAAAGACGACGCGCAAAGCTGCCCAGGCCATAGCGCCGCTATGGCCAACCCAGTTAGCAGCGCTACACTGCAAAGCGATGGGCAGAAGCTAGAGCATCCCAGCCATAGCGGCGCTATGGCCATAGCGCCGCTATGCCCTGATTTGTAACTGCTGCGTTTTTCTCGGATTTTTGAATGTGAGGCTTATTAGATCGGACCTAGGGCATATTTTTGGCATTCCAGACCTTGTTTTTTCGACTTTTCTCCATAGAAAACATCTTTTCTCTCTTAGATTTGCATTTAGATTGGATTTGGACAGTAAAAACTCCCTTTCTAACGTTGGATTTGGATTTCTCGTTGCTTTCTCGACATTGGATTTACATTAATCGTAAGTATTTCTTCTCATTTGTGTGTGATGATGATTTCTTGGGTTGATGTGAATGTTTATGTGAGAATCAAGATGAGTAGCTAAATTCATATGCTAGGGAATAGAGGATTGAAGTTTTGTATCATTTGTGATTATGGGTGTTCGTTGATTGTTCTTCTTATGCGAGTTAAACTTTAATTAGGGTTTTTCAATCATTGTCTTGGATTTTGAGAATTGTTGAAGGGTGACACTTCAACTTGCGATTGTTTCAATTGGGTTTGATAAATTCATACTTGGCATTGTTAATTCTAAACGGACTAGTTGATTAACCCCCTTCTAGTCTAAGTTAATCGACTCTTAGAACCGAAAGGGAAGGAGTAGATCGAAATAGGCTCGCATAAGCTAGGCTTGTTCGTAACTGTATTGCCTAGAAGTTAAATGCTTGTTAATTTGCCGTTCTAGTTTGTTCTCTTGTTACGAAAAGTTATTGAGGATGAGTACTTGAACGTGTAAGTTATTCAAATCACTTAACTGGATAATCACTAGCCCATCAATTGCAATTCGAACCAAAACGGATATCCCCGACTCCCTAGCTTCCTAAATCCTACGTGTTCTTCGTCCTCGCTTGCTATTTATTTTATTGCTTACTTAATTTTCGTAGTAGTTGATAGTTGAAACCAATCCAATCATTTGAATTAGAATGTTTAGGAGTTTAATTTCTCTTGTGTGATTGAATAAACGTGCAATTTATTCCAGCTAACCTTCCTCGTGAGACACGACCCGGTGTTCGAATCTTTCGATTCTGCTCCGGTAAAAATATACACAACAACGATCCCAAACCCGCAATAACCCACGACGCGAGCTCGTTGTCCAACTCCTCAAACCGACACCAGAAAAGAAGAGACACAGGGAGGAAAAGGGCACAAACCTTCGCCCCGACCACCACAAAGAGGTAGGTTGGGGCCGCAACCCTCTCTCGACGAAGCACCATAGCCCATCACCACGAAGCCACTGGAGAATCGACGAACCACCACCCCCCATGGCGACCAAGACAGTGAAACCCACTCGGGGGTGACCGGCCTCCTCCGCCGACGAAATAACGCGGCTCCGGGAACCTCTCTGGGTCCGAGCCACACGTCCCAGTGACGACTTCCGCCGCGGCGGTCCAACGAGAACTACTGGGGAAGGCGCAGATCCAAGCCTAAGGAGACGAGAGAAAGAGGGGTTTTTGGGCGAAAATAATTATTGAAGAATTTCATTTGAGGCTTTTTGGCGGGATTGAAATATATTAACTTGGAAAAATGGATCAAGTAACGTTAAACACACACACACATACATATACATATGCGCGCACGCGCACACACACACACACATATATATATATATATTCGGAAAAACTAAATATCTTTTATATTTACATTTAGGAATGATGAATGTAAATTAATAATAGTTAAATTATGTGAGTAAGTTAATTAATTAATAGTGAATATATTGAAGAATGTAATAGTGATTAAATTTTACTATTATGATGATAATATTGAGAAAAAAATTAGAGTAAATAAATACTAATTAAAAAATCATATCCATCCAATTATAATGAAAAGCTTACCAAAACAAGACGACATTAGACTACGAATAACAGCAATCGTTCAAAACACCCAACCATTCAACCACCCTAATATTTAATTAATTTCTCTCTCTTCCACATCATCAATAATCATCCCAACCACACCATCTCAATTTTGCATGTTTATCAGCAACCACACCAACATCCAACCACAACATTTTTTTTCTTAATTTGATTTTATTTAATTATTATATTTTTTATTTCATTTTATTTTAATTATGAATTAATTCTTTTATTTGCTTTGATTTAATATAATTATATAATTATTTTATTTGCTTTGATTTAATATTATTTTATATTTATAAATTCTGTGGTCAATTTGACATGGATTGTGCTTTTTGAAAGAATGGACCAGATTAATTGCTTTAATGATGAACGGTGAAAATCAAATTGACGAAGATTGTGCTTTTAACAAACGGCTCAGATTCATTTCTTTTGTGAGAAGTGATGGGGATTTATGTAATGTGATTTAACATATTTATATTTTATTATATAAAAAACATACGAATTTAAAAACTATATATTTATGTCAATTTAAAAATAAAAAGAAGTATAGCAAAATTGATCTCTATTTGTAAAAAATTAAAAATTATGAATTTTGGTATATTTATTTATTTTTTATTTGATTATATAAAAAATATATTAGTTTAAAAATTATTAAAAAAAAATGAACCAATGGGATGGAGACAAGTGTCTCCATTCCATTGGTTACTTTATCATAAGACTTGTCTCCATCCCATTGGTTACTTTATCATAAGACTAACTCAACCACTTGGTTGCCTATCCCCCAAAACACACCACCTCTCTCCTCTTTTCTCATTTTTTTTTTT